TGGATTGTAAGTGGCATGTTCAGTGACTGCACGTCCACAAGCATGACCTTACACTTTGTGGGTGCAAAGTACATACCAAAGGACGGGATGAGGTCAGTCAGTTCATCCAAGAATACTTGCGCCTTCTGCTCCTCGCTGGAAATCTACAAGTTCGATGGATGCCACACTGAACACGAATAGAAATGTCTAAAACCTCACCTCTATGGCTTCATCGTATTTTTCATCGTATCCGGTTCGAACAAGCCGAATAGTGAAGACGCAATGACTGCGACTGGATTCACAATTCAATGCCGTCTGACCGATACGGCGCCGTTTCTGTCCTGCAACAGACAAGCGACGATGAGACAAAGTAAGTCCTGTAAAATTACTACGGATTTGTTGAACGAAAATACTCCTCAACCTCACCGTTGACACTGATAATTCAATACCATACAACCACAAACTTTAACTAATTATATTTAGTCTTAGAACAAAAGGAAGAGAGAAGAGTGGGTGAGGGAAAGGACCTGCTGCTCCATTGCAGATATTGTGAGGTGCCCATACTTCAAAGCGCTCAATCAGACAATCTGGAAAGTAATTGACAGTAAGAACGTCTCCGACGCCATTTCTCGCAACGTCTCTAGCCAAGCACAGGAAGGATCACGGGACCCCTATCCTGGTGGGCGTATTGCACCAACAACATCCAAACTCTTCGCAATCGCTTTCACACCCTTCTGCAAGCCATCCATTGCCCATGTCGCAACGTGTCGTTCTAAAGGTGGCACGGAGAACGACATTCGTCTCGTTGGACGGTGTTGCGGCATATGTGGAACATGGCCGAGCCAACGCAGTTGATGGTGCTGAATGTTTTACGCACTTAAAGCACCTGCAACACAACCGAATACGTTTTCTAACCAGCTCGTCACTGATTCGTTGACGCAATCCGACCGGAATACTGCAAAACAGGTACTTACGATGTATACTTCAAGTACGCTGATGTGACGGGACATATAATGAGGGCGTGGGAGAACATCGCTATAATGTTCCAATCCGTGTCCATTTGATCCGGTGGCACCGAGCTTCGGCATGTCCTCCGTAAGTCCGATTCCGAATAACCCAAGCAGTTCTTGTCACTAACGTCACTATCGTGTGAGACTGTCGCACAAGAGAACAGTCTAAAACCTGGCTCTCAACAGTTGGGACTGGAATCGTACTATTGAATCATCATTTGGCATACTGTATAGGGTAATGGAACAAAAACTGGATGGCTGGATGATTGTTTCGTAGGTTTCAAAGTTGTTTACCAACCTTGCTGTCCCTACAACATTCCTATTTTTTTCTTGTCGTTCACACCCGTCATCCCTACTGGGATTCATTAGCATGACGCATCTCACGAAACTCCAGAGATTCTCGAACCTGCGACCTCCCGGCTAGTAGTTTGGACACTTAACGGTTCGGCTACGGACGGCTGATCAGTTGTGTGATTAGCTCGTATTCAGACAGAATATAGGACCATGTGTCCTTCTGTCACAGGGTCCACATCCCATGGTCACATGTGTTAAGTAGCTCTTCGAGCAGTGACTTTTTAGGCGGGTTCGAGACTCCCTGAAGTTTCGTGAAATACGTACGGCCGATGATTTCCTGACTTTTCAGGATAGATTGGCTTCAATTACGAGATGAAATCGCCAATAGGATGAGAAACAAGCCTAACGGGAGCAAATCTGTTTAAGTGTAATTTGGTCACTGAAAGGGATGAGGAATGGTCTTTCAGTGAATTTGTCCAGCCCCATAACAATGTGCGAGAGCATTGTGGGGATCCACACACAAGCGCCGGGTCACGGTACTTATCACCTGGAGCGGCTGTTGGGCTGATCCTGTACGCGGTGCGAGACGTAAAACACAATATGCTGCTGTGGGAAATCAGTGACAGGGAAGAGACTGGAGTCTTTAATAATAATACACATACGTCAGTTTGGTGATAAATCATGAAGTTATTGGGTATCCTCTTCTATAGACGAGATGAATATCTGTAAACTTAACCAATGGGTCTTCTCCTGTCAATCAAATTGAGGAATTCAATTGAAAGAAGATAGTTAGAGCACATCAATTAAGTTAAACACTCTCTCCGTTGGGTAGCTATTACTAGCAAACTGGTTCGACGGATAACAGCAGCGCCAATAGTTTAAGATAATCAGGTATATGCATTACTGAACGACGAGATCGGTGAGGTTGAACGTATAAATAGAGTGAAATCAGAAGCCTCCAAATGGAATGATAAAAAGGGGTAGCATTTCTGTTTTCTCACCAGAGCAACTATTGGGTTCTCACACCGGCTACTGAACACGAGAGAAGCCCATAGACACGCTGGCTTACAGGCATCATCCGACATAAAAGAAAATTGAGATTTCCTAAAATAAAAGACATGGCAGGGTTTCATAGATCTTTGGAGACGCCAACCTCCATGGATATCAGTCCAAAGGTAATGAATGGTTTATACCCAGTCTTTGGGCCAGCCCCAAACAATTTACTCTATTAAAAGTGTCAGGCCTTTTCAGCTACTGCAAACTTTGTTACGCATTACCAAAAACAGAATTTCAAATGAACGGCTCATCTGAACTAACCTGCTGCAAATATCTTCAAAGCTTCATCAACTGTTTTCACTTCAGCTTCGACGCAACCAGAAACATAGATATTCCTATGAGCATCTTCACGCAGCGCGTGAGTCACACCCGGTCTGTAAACGTATCGATCTGCCAACTGCAAACAAGCTAACCTTCCCGGTATATCAGGAGTTTCACGAAGCAAATCATATATATTGTTGTTGTAGACTTCTACCAAAGATATGAAAACCGCGTAAAGTGCTTTCGGCGGCAAAGGCAAAGTAACTGACGCTCGAGATTTAACGTGTGGTGTCGACAGTATATCGTTTCTAAGAAATGAAAAGTAATCAAGCCGAATTTGATACCGTACCTTGGCAAGTTTAACCGCTGCTGATAGTCCAAGTGGTGCCTGTCTATCAGGGCATCCGTTTCTGATTGAATCACAAACCCATTAATTCCATCCGGTTTTACTACCTGATGAAGCATAGGATAGGAACAGCAAGCCACTCACGTATTTCTTCGTCTGTCGATCTCCAAGAGAATTAAAAATGACCTCTAATGTGAGAGGCAAAATACCCGCCTCCTTGGATGTGCCCTGCATGGCGTACGTTTTCCCACTCCCAGTTGTGCCATAAGTAAGTAGAAGACCTTCAGATACGATGAAGACAGAAATTTGTGCATACCATTTTTTCCCTCGAGGAGCTCCCCAACCAAGGGCAGTGCAACGTTCTGAAAGATCACATCTTGTGACACTTGATCGTCATAAACAGCGGAAAATGTGTGCAACGTCTGCCCAAAATAACAGAACATAAAAGTGCTGTTTTTACCTCTTTATAGGACCCAGCCCTAGACCCGACAGTCTTAAGTGTCGTTTCGCTTATGATCTCAATACACGATGGCAAGTCAGTACTATTTGGTTTGACACGACAGAAGACTTGAACCTTTTGCCCCGAGGTCGACCGCAGATGGCGAGATGCTGGTGTTCGCATGACTAAAATAGGAAAGGGGGTTGAATAGTTAGTTAAAGAATAAAAAGGGCCGAATCAGTAGCAGAATTCGGGATATGAATATTTTCCCCTTCCGGTTGGACGCTTGTCCCAAGACAGTTCCAAACGCGAGACATAAATCAAAGACAGCACACCACAAAACAGGAAGGCGAAAATCTCCTTGAGAGCTAGCGATTATATACCAATGAACTACGGTCCTTTAGGCGACCATCAGTGAATATAAAAGTACGTATCAATTTGGTTTTCACGAGAGACTTAACTGAATCTCATTTATGACGAGAGATATCCATTTACTTGGTTTTTCGTATTAAACAAGGCTCTCGGTTTGCACGGACACTCAGCTTCGCCTGGCATCGAAGGATGCGTCTGGCTGAGTTGTGGTTTTGGCCAGGAAGAACCTATTGCCGGGCCTCCAGCGAAGATAGCCCTACTAGAGATCCAATGTTTGGATGTGGTTGGCTGGGTTTTACTGCCAACACAAGTTCCGGCACTGAGTAGCGCATTGGATATCTTTCCTAAGTGGCTGTTAATACCCGACATCTAGCCATCCGGCAGGTGTTTGAGGAGGCGGTTCTGACAATTTCGTTTGATATCTGGGTCAACTAGCTCTTCAATGGCTGAGTGAGGTGTGTGCGTTTTAAGCAGACCTCAAAAGCGCAGTGAAAGGCGGAAGCGTAAAAGTGTGGTCGGAGTCCACGCTGGTGTTCCAGGAGCAGAAAGCAAGGACCGACACTCGTCACCGATAACTGACGGCGATATGATCTGCTTGGATTTGGGGCTGACTGGTTGATGAACACAATCTGTAAATGGGTTTCCGCTGTCCGGAAAATTGGTACTACAAAGCGACAGTCTGTGATCAGCACATGTCTGAAGCAGGCGGTCTCCATTTTCCGTGTCCAATCCAAGACGACGACCTAATCGGGCCTCGGCAGTCTACCTACCTGGACGTTTATGCTGTCAGCGACCACGATATCTTTTAGTTCGTTGGAAAAGAGCACCTAGAGTGTCATAGAAACTCTCTTTGGCAGATTCAGGGCTACAGTCAGTTGGGGCGTAAGTGGACACAATAAAGGGGTAGTGATAGACCTCACTTCCTCCAGAATCATTCACAGAAGTTTCTAAACGAACGGTACAGGGACGGTTATCAACAGATATCCAATCAATTACAGACGCTTCCGCTCGGTCGCTCAATACAACACCCACTCCGGGATATCCAGCTGCAGCTGCCTCTGCATCTCCAGAGGTGCGCAGCCGGAACCCGGAAGAGGGCGAGGAGAGTCAATTCAATTACAGTATGTATGTCCTGTATCCTCGTTTCTGACAGACAGCAGTGTACCAACAAGAACCACCTGAGCAGCGGAACTGAGTCACCTACATGTTTTTGACGACCGTTATCTCAGAACCATAGCTCACGTGATCTGGTGTCAGCGAATCCGCAGCAAGGCAGATAGCAAACGAGTGTTGGGCTATGTAATGCGAACTTCAACCGAAGAATTTGTCCAGCACCAAAATCTGCGGTGCTTAGGTTGTGTATTGCGCAGGTCAGGTCATCGTTCGCTGAGTAGAGCGCAGTTTCCCATGTCCAATTCAAAGTGGCGCAAGCGGAGACGTGATCAACCTGACATGAGGGCATCGAAAAAATTACGAAACGTGGATACTACCGGTGCGACTCACCTTCCAGAATGAGCTCCGCGCGATCCCCATTGTGCCTAGTTGAAGATGCTGCAATACATGGCTGGTAATCCATGTCGCTAGTGTTCCTTTTGTCAGTTTCTACCTGGATTACCTGAATGAGTGTATGTTGGCATCGGCAACTCAGAGTGATTGTGTTAGGCTAGCAGTAAGTCCCTCCTCCATCGGCCGTATATCAGAGAAGCATCAGTGTTGAACACTGTCATTATGCCGTTGATGATGATAGGGCCACTCGAGAAAGAAATATATGAAACGAAACCAATTATAACCAGGCACTGGATCTTGAGTGACAGTAAAAGTGCTTCAAGCTCTGATACGCATTCCTCCAACTGGACAGTAAAATAACGATTCACAAACTGTCACACCTCCGATGAAAATGAACCTTTGTGCGGTTGACCGTGACCGCCGGCGCATTATCTAATACGGTCGAAATACTTTTAAAACCAAAGAGCCTGGTGCTGCTCAAAGGGCACCTGCTGTGCGCAGCCGCATCAGGAATGAGACAGTAATGCCTAATTCCCTGCGCCCTCGGCTTAGGCCAACCCCCTGCAGCCGAGCAGGTCAGAATGTTGGGTCGTCGGCTCCGGTCAGTGTCCCCAAAGAAAACCCCACATTTTCTCACTGCCTCGTGGGTCAGACTTTTGAGTCAGAGGCTTGGGGCAGGGTCCCCGAACAAAACTCCACACTCTCCCGCTGCCTCGTGGGTCAGACTTTTGAGTCAAAAGCTCAAGGTGGGGTACCTCAACTAGACCCCCACCCTCGGCCTGGGCAACCGGAAAGTATCATTTGCCCGCGCAGTTCAGCGTCCACCGATGTCCCTCCACAACCCCTTCCCACCGCACAAGCAAACGCCGCTGAGCCATTTGACTGTTAGTCATCTGACTTAAGGGTCTCAGGCTCCTCGCTGCTTACAAACATTAAACAAAATAGCACCTGTCTAAATCCACGAGATCCTTTCTATATAGGAGCTTTTAACGTCCGTATTCTATGTCAAATTGATAAACAGGAAATTCTTGCTGAAACCTTGTACTCCCTTAAAATCCATATATGCTGTGTCTCCGAAACACGCATACCAGATCCGAGCGTCGTTATGCATCTCAGAAGGCCAAGGATGAACTCAGCTCTTTCACATTTCTCCCTCCGTGTGTTCGGTGACCCAGAAGCGATAACTCGTGGAATATACGTCGTGGGGGTGTTATATATTTGCTCTGTTTTTCAAACGTTTTATCATTTGTTGCTAAATCACTTTGTTCCGTTTCCAGCTCTCAGTGTCAAAGTTTTGGATGAATAAAGCCTAGCTTTCGGGCCCTCAGTCTTCCGTTGTCATTCTGATTGTCGTTGCACTCCGACCCTCGTCGTACACAACAGGGAGTTGTACTCGGCCCCAAAGCTGAACGCGCTTTGCTGGATTGGATCCCAGTGAACAGTCGTCTCAGCGCCGTCCGGTTATCTAATTCCATCAAGCTCAATGTCAAAGGTCGAGTTTACAATGCGCCCATATTACTGTATGGGTCGGAAACCTGGCCGCTGCGCGCCGAGGACGTTAAAAGACTTTCAGTGTTTGACCATCGATGTCTTCGGAGCATTGCCCGAGTCTGGTGGGAACACCGGACCAGCAATGCTGAAGTACGTCGAATGGTATTCGGGAGAAATAGCTCACCCTCGATAGATGAACTGATCACACTGCACAGGTTGCGCTGGCTTGGCCACGTGCTGCGTATGCCAGTCGACCGACTTCCTCAAAGGGCTCTTTTCGTCCAACCATGTGAAGGGTGAAAGAGAGCCAGAGGTGGTCAAACAATGACTTGGCAGCGAAGTATAAAAGCCATTACCAGCAAACTCAGCTGCGCTGGTCACTGCCGTCTTCCTGGATGGGGACCCCGAGACGGGCCACATCAATGGCTAGAGACATTGTCAGACATGGCCCGGTCGCGCCCCCAATGGCGCTCGTGCATCCAAGCTATTGCCTTCAATGCATGGTTCCTTTTCCAACAGCCCACTGATGGATTTATGCACTAATTTATCAGCTCCCGCCTCCAACGCGCAGCTACCTACTCCCCCCACCCAAATCACCGGTGAACGAAACTGCGGCAGCTGCCACCACTGTACGACGAGTACGCGGTTATTACAGCTGACAATGATGATGACGATGACGCGCAGCAGGCTCAGAGTCCTGCAGTGGGAGAAATAATCATTTGGAAAACGGCTTGCTTGCTTCCGAAACAGAGCGCCTGAGTCGTGAGGTTGAACACTTTGAACAACCATTCAAATGGTCATTTAAAGTTGCGCAGCCGGACTCCCGACCCCCAACGTAGCCCTGGACGGTGAAGGTGGAACACCCGATGGCTTCGGAAATAAGCGAATGGCTTTTGTCCTTCAGATGTCACCGACCTGCTGATCCTGACGAACTCCCACCCGCCCATTTTAAGTATGGGGCTGAGAGTCCAATATATGGTATTTCGCCCACTGCAAGTATCAATCGTCGAGGTTTTTGTCCACAGAAAGGCGACCTCTGCCCCACCACCAGGAGAAAATGGCCGGCGCGATGGGCGAGATGGCCCAAGTGGTTAGAGCGCGAATTTACTGACCGGAAGGTTCGTGGTTCGAATCCGACCTCCGCCTCTCGACTTCCCCTGTCTAGGCTTGGGCAACCTGACATTATCCCAGCCCTCGTGCTTCCTTCGGGTGGCATGGCAGCTAGGCACCGGAAGGGTGCTACAGCTGAACACTTCTTTTTCTTTTTAAACTCCTATGGGGCGAGAGATACCACAGAGAAAGAATAAGCGCCAGAATCACCAAGGCAGGAGGTGAACAAGTGCGCTGCAGAGGCCCCTTCGAAGCCAACATGGAACTGCAAACTCTGCTAGCACATCCCTGTGTTCCCCAAGATGCAGCACGAATGGTGCCGAATTGTCTGTCCAGAAAATGCCTCAGGCCTTTCCATACGCTTTCCGATATTCAACACTTGGCCTGTCTTGAACAACTGATCATTATCACATACAGGAACATCTTTGATGTTCATATCTCGGAAGCTGACTAATCTGTCCTCTGGACTGATTCGAGACGAGGAAGGGTGGCAGTGCTTTATACTTGAAAACGACCAGTCCTTTCCAACACCAATCTCGCACACTTCTTGGTACGGTATGTGTCCAAATTTAGCTGCGTAGGACGCACTCTCTTCAATGCGTCGTTTATCGTTGTTATCCAAGTTCGCCGGAGGGCGACTTCTTCCTTATATAAACACTTGAACAACTATTCCCGGACACCACTTCAAAATGTTTTGACTACATGCGACCTAAATGCTCCAACGGACTCCTAGATGGAGCTCCAGCACGCGCAATGGAGAGCCTGTACTCAGCATGCCGACGCATCTACCAGGTGATGGACCGGCCGAGTACCATCACTTTTGAACCAGGCTTTCACCAATGAAACACCGTCCATTGCTCTAGTGATAAGTAGGGTTTCCCTGGGATATAGTGGAAACTGTATTTCGGCCTTTGACTCCATGTGATACTGGGTCAGAAACCCTAAACCTCAAACGTGACATCCTAACTTCTGCCGCGCAGAGTTCCCAGGGGCGTGTATCTTCCCTGACCAGGTTAACCTCTGGGTAGCTTAGGGAGACATAAATGATGATTAGCCAGAATAATGACGAGGCTGATGCAGTATTTGTTCCAAACATATCAGCGTCCTTCCGGAAGTGAGGGTCAAACTGTTTAAAAAGATAACCACAAAAGTCCAGATGGTATTTCGTGAAGTGTAAAAACACTGCGAAACAGTGACTCCCTATTAAACTTTCGGAAGTTAAGTGCTTTAGCTTGGGAAGTCAAAAACATATTTAAGTACACTAGAGACAACACAACGCAAGGATTCCTCCCTTGCGTCGTGCGTATGTTCACGTTCATGGATAGCTGAACACAAGCCAATCATGAAGGATTCCTGTCGGACACCATATTCTTCCTTTTTCCAAAACCATTCGGTTGAGGTCTGCACGTTCTGCCCCTCCACAAACTCGAGCTCCATAAGGTTCCATGGGAACTCTCACGTTGAGTCAAGGCCTCGTAAACAAGCGGAACTTTTCGAGTGAAAGTTGAATTGACCTGCTCTTCTTCTGTATCAGCTTGTGTTCGAGCTCCTCAAAGCTCCGTCTAAGAACCACTTATCTTTCCAATCTCGGGGCGCATCTCAAATGAATATCGACGTGGTAAAACAGTGATCACTGAACTAGCACCTTACTACGAGAGACCATAGATGTGTCCACATGTTGTTCGGAGGAGAAGCAGGAAACGCCTTTGCCATGCACGGTGAGAATGGCTCCAAAGAAACTAGCAAGCAAGATATGAAAAGGACTTAAATATCTTGCCCACTACAAGCATATCCGTCTCATGTCCTTCCACCACAAAAAATCAATCTTCGCCGTTCTTCGGATGGTTTAGCACACTTTACCCAGTTTTACTAGGATATAATTCCCAATACTTTACTGAACATACGTCAGGGCACTTCTTGAATACACCAACCAAGTTGTCTACTCAGGAAGCAAGGAGATAACCCTCGGTGGGTGTATCCAACGTGCTACCACGAATGTGGTCTCCAGCCCCGAATCCTTGATTATAAGGCGGTTGGAAATCTTCCTCTAGTCCGTCATCACCTTCGATGGGTCCTGAGACTTACTTATGTCTTGTTTAAACAATGTTTGGCCGATAAGATTTTTACGGCTGACCCAACTAATACACAGAGGGGATATGGTGGCAGGATTTTAAGGTCAGATCATTCACTTTTATTAGACAACAATTCTCCCTCATTTCGAGTAAACAGTGTCTCGGGTAACCTTCATCTGACAGTCGTTTTGGCTGCATCTGTGAGTCACTCCCAAACACTTTTGGCTGCTTTCATGTGTATTCTTGCGGTGGTAAGCTTGCTGCTTAATGCTCAAAGTGTACCATCTCCGTACCATCTCGCCTGCGTCTCATGTGAACCGAAACCGATGAACGACAACCACTCCGACCAGGTGATCTTGGGTAAACTCTCGATCCTGCGTATCAATCCCTGGACAGGGTTACTACAACCGGATTACGACGGAAAATACCATGGGTCAAGAGCAATAACAGGTAAAAACTGGGGATGCAAAACCTAACGTTTGTGAGTATTACGGTCTCAATGGTTTCGACAAAACGAGTACGTCTTCAAGTATTCTACCTTAACTTCTTACAGTAATCTCCCAGCGGCCGTTGGGTAATCAAGCCTGTGCAACAACTTTGACTGTAGAAAACTGGATATCCAAGTAATGAAAGTGTCACGCAGTTGAAACCGGGCATATGGACCCCCACTGAAAGCAAGCCAACCCTCCGGAACTGCTTCTACTGTGTACGCTTCGGAAAGAATGCCAGGCGCTGCGGTCACAACTCTCATAACAGCAAACCTCCGTTGTCCACAACTATCCCTATCGCTTTTAATAGACAGTTTTCCCCTCTACTTATGACAGGGCAGTTGAACTCTAAGCCTGTGAAAATCTTAGTCGACACCGGTGCTTCTTGTCCCATTGTTTCTATTGATTTATTACGACCGAAGCCTAATAGTCGCGACTACTGCCCGGAACTCCTTACCACCGATGGATCTATCATCTCATCACTTGGCATGAATAGGGCAGTACTTTCTGCATCAGACATAGTTACTAACTTTACGTTCATCTGTGCACGAATCCACTGAGATGTAATTGTGGGCATGGATTCCCTAATCATGCACGGAGCTCACACTGATGGCCAGACAAGCACTGTCCGATTCTCTGAACCAGAGTGTAACAGCACCGTGTCTGTTGACACAAAAAATTACGCGATTTGCGCTCCAACATACCAGACACAGAAAGGAATAGGGTAATCAGTTTGCTAACGGAGTTCTACGGTGTGCTGGACATCTCGCGGTCCTCTCTGCGGAGAACCAACGTTCTTTGACATATGTGTGGACTACCGACAACTGAATCAGGTCACTGGGCGTGACTCGTTTACGCTTACACGTGTGGATGATACTGTTGACTCAATGGATGGCTCAAAGTGGTTTTCCACTCTGGATTTAGCGTCTGGATACTGTCAGGTCAAGGTTCATCCGAAGGACCATTGTAAAACGGCTTTCGCAGTGCCGTCAGGCCTATATGAATTCGGACTCGCGGACGCACCTGCCACATTTCAGTGACTTATGCAGACAGTTCGCGCAATTTTGGTCCCTAAACATTGTTTGATCTACCTAGACGACATCATTGTGCATGGCCGCACAATCGACGAACACAACAGTCGACTGCGAGAACTCCATTGTCGCATCAAGGAGGCTGGCATAACGCTCCGCGTGGAGAAATGCAAGTTTCTCCAAAGCAGAGTGCTGTTCTTGGGTCATATTCTCTCTTCTGATGGGGTCCAAACGCACCCAGATAGGACAAAACACATTGCTGGGCGGCCGAAACCGAAAGTGCCATGAGGTACAAAAATAGGCCATGGTCATGCACTCAGGAGGGTGGGTGTACAAACGAGCTACTCCTTTCTGTCCGGGGATCGTCCATGGTACCTGCAACGGGGAGAGAGAGAGAGGCACACATACAACAAGTCACAAGATAAACACGCGTGTGCAGGTACGGTCCAGTCTCCACTGCGTTAGATCCGGGTGGTTCGAAAGCTCCGCGCTTTCCAACTAATACTGATAACCGCCACCCTGGATGAACGACCTTGAACGTTAGGTCCATGAGCAGTAAAAACAAAGGAGCTCTTCACTTGCACTCAGATTAATATAGGCCTTTGCCTATGCTTTCCGGGTCGTATTAGTTCTCGTATTTCACTTTCACTCATCTCAACGGCGCAGGCGAAAAAATGTTGTTGGGCGAAATGGCTGCCCGTCGAACGTCAAACACGGTATGCAATGCCACGCCTGCAAGGCCTGGTGGCATTTCAAATGCACGGGTTTACAGGACGACCAGATAAGCCAACTAGCCAACTCTCCTGACCCGTTTGTCTGTGCCAGTTGCCTCTACGTCAAGGGTGCAATGCATACCGCAGCGAAGAGAAAAGTCCCCCGAAACGGTACCCAATCCCCAGTGCAGATCCCGAAAGACCACTGTCAGTGTTCCGCTTTAATCGGGATACTCGACGCAAAATTAGAGCGCCTTTCGAAGGCATTGGAGGGATCAGGCGCTAAGAATGCAGCGACCTGGGCGAAAGTCGACAAGGAACTTTCCTTGCTGAACCAATACCTCGCGATGTCCATACCGGGACCCATGGCCGCGAAGAAAGTCATACAACTTTCTGACGCGGCTATAAAAACCGCCACAGCGTTTCTAGTGGACAGACGCCTAAGGGAAAACAGGCTGACAATCTGGGGGTCACTCTCCGGAAAAATCACGCAAGTGAAACTGGCACAGTCGATACTCAGCAGGCCTGATAAAGCGCTCCACGCAGAATGGCTACGCCAGAAGGGAAGTAAGCGAACCCTTGGAATTCTAGTCACACTTTCTTCCCCGTCCGACGTACAGGAAGTCTTGGAGCGAGCTGGCAGCATTCAAAAGACCAACCCAATGACCAGGCGCCTATCTGAGGATCGTCCTCTAGACGCGCGTAAGCTTGGTCACAACAGGTCAGGAGTGGAAGCACGAAACAGGCTTCCACCGGACACCAAACCAGAAGACCCCAAACTCATCACCAAGCCGATTGTGGTCATATCCCCCTGTGCCCCCGAAAGCTGGCCGACGAAACCAGCTGCGTCTCCGGACAGCAGTTTTTATTCGACCACCACAGGCCTCTCGCCCACCCAAGGCAGGGACGCCCTGGAAGAGGCAAACCACACATGCAAGCAGCGCCCAAACCACGTAGAGCTATCAACGCTTATCTCCGTATCAGAGGGCACAGCTGCAGCCGCGCATTCGTCAACAAAGTCACGGCCCCTGAACTGGAATGAATCAGACGTGCGGGGACAAGAAGCGAAGCCAACCTCCCGCTCAAAAGCGGTCAAACAGCATGTGGACACAACCGTCGCCCAAGACACCGACACCCAATGCCATAAACATGACTACAGCCATCCGGAAAATCCGGCGTACATCCAGTAGGCCACGCTGATCGCTGGCGGATCGGGTGTTCACACAAAACCGGAAGAAGTGCGACTGCAGCCAAAAAAGCCACATAAAACTCGCCATATTAGAAAACTGCTGGCTGGCTCCAAGGTGCAGTCTTTCGGGAAAACGAGCGTCAGTCCGATAACCTACCTGGTCACTCAACATTCGCCTCCTCTGCCTCGGGGGCGGCAGACAGTGTTGGAATCCTTGCCACAACCTGCTTCAGGTTTTCCACAAATTCGGTGATGATAAACAGTCAGCTTACTTTGAACAGCCGTCCATAACCGCACTGAAAGAGGCGTGGCTCGAACCAAATGTCTCTCACGCGGAGGTCTCGATAAGCGGTCACTATTTTTCGAGCTGACTCAAAACGAGGGAGGGCTGGTGGGGTTGCTCTGTACTAACATGCGGCCCTACCAATCCCGATTATCCTCTCTGGTACCACTACTGCACCTTTTTTCGATGCAATGTAGGTCCAAATCCTGCTGCGTTAGTCCGATTCTCTCCTTTTCGGTGTGGTCTACCGTAGACTTTCGAGTCCCCCTGAAGATGACCAAGTCCTCGCACAAACGCTTGAGAAACTCTCCTCCAACTACAACTTTACTCATCTCCTGCTGGTGGGTGATTTGAGCGCCCCAAATGACTCCTGAATGGAGCTCCAGCGCGTTGAATCAGACGGAATTTTTGCAGCGGCGCTGATTGAAGTCGTACAACAGAGCGCTTGGGCTCAACATGTCGTTGCACTCACCAGATACTTCGCAGGTCAACTACCATCCCCGCCGGATTTGGTCATCAATGGCGAAAGACACTTCGTTGGTCAGGAAACAATTAACGCTCCACTACAACATAGCGACCACTTTGTGCTGACCTTGGATTTCACCTGCTACTGGGCCAGAAATCCCGAACCTAAAACGTGGTTTGGAAACTTATGTCGTGCAGACTCCTCAGCAGTGCGCATCTTTCTTGAGCAAGTTAAATTGGGACCAGTCTCAGTGGAAGAATTATGTAGGACCAGTGTCTCGAAACTTCACGTGACTGACGCGACGTTCGTCCCAAAAACACCAGCACGCACTCGGATGAACCGCAGGCTGCTAAAAAGGATTCGGCGACTTCTGGAAAAAAGATCCCAACTCTTTTTCAAAAAGTTGACCACAGGGGATACAGAAGATTAGTTGGCATTTCGTAAAATGCGGATCGGCTATAAATCGGAAATCCGCCAAAGGAACATACGTAAACATGCCAACATTCTGGACCTCGCTCGAAAAAACAAAAACGTACTGTTCAAGTACATGAGACATCGCCGCAGAAACAAGCCATCTCCTTGAGGGACAGAAACGGAGAACCGACAAATGACCCAGCAGTGGTATCTGAGGCTTACAGAGAACACTATGCGTGTCTGTACTCAGCACCAGCATCCTATTCACATCCACTCTTGTCAAGGAGTACCTACGAACAGCCTCTAACCGACTTGGTCTTTACGGTGGATACTAATAGGAGGGAACTGGTCGCGGATTGTCGAAGAATTTTCAGCGGCCTTATAAGTAGTCTATAACTCTTATACAAACTCCTTTACAGTCCAGTTATGAGCAGTAGTGATCGATACTTCGCTAAGTTTGCTGATACCACAGTTAAATAAAACGAGAGGCAGGGCAACCTGTCTAGTTTTTTTTACATGAGTTTACCAGCAAGGCCCTGGCTATCTTAGTTGCTGATTCAGTTTGCTAGATTGGAGGCCATAGAACAAGAGATAGAGAGTGCACCCAATTCTTCCCGACGGTGGAGTTCATAAGCCATCACCATCCAGGCAATTTTGTTCCTCCAGCCTGCGTCCACAGGTCTTTTGAAAAACCACCAGTCTACCGTTCACATTTTTGAATGAATGGGATCTTTTGCACTCACACTCCCGACTTGAAAATGTGGATTTTGTTTCGTTGCCGGTGGGTGTCCAGTTAGCCGCGGAGGGCATAACGGCCCCGAGTTACAGGCAACTGGCGCAGACGAAGGACAAGGAAAAATAAAAATTCGACTCATCTGACAATTCCTGAAAACCGTTTTGAAACTCTTGAAATACCAGTGAGCCGGACAAGCGTGGCATTTCATTCTTTGTTTTACAATTGGCTGACACTTATACCACCATCTGTCATTTTTAACAGAGGTTTTAGCACAACTCAGCCTGTTATGACCTGGCTAGTGTTTGTCAGTAAGTGGCTATGCAGTGGAAAGAAAGTGTAACCTGACGAAAGGTTTCTCATGGACAAGTGATGCTTGTGTGTAAAATTTTTTAGCCAAATGGAAAGTGTTAACTCAATGAATTGTTAAGACGGTGAAAGAAGCCGTTACCGAAATGCGAAACCGATAACTGACGTACTGCGCCTTCCACTCAGTCCCTCCCGATACCCTTGGCTACCTTTAAAATTAGATACTAATCGATGGATGTCTTGGGACCATGAGTCCGCAGTGCATGCTTACGTGAATAGATTAATATGCGCCTGTTTCACAAAAAACATGGGAAAAATGTTTGTCGGTGGGACGTGTTCGGATCGGCTCGCAATGAAAGCACACAACTGAGGGCGGAATGCATAGACGAACACAACTGCAGTCAACGTCATTTCTTCTCTGCCTGTACGTTGAGAGAAGCCGACTGAACCAAAAGTTAAGTGATTCATAGGAAAATCCTTCGCTGGATTAAGGCGACAGATCAGACAGATCATTCCGAGTGAGAATAGGCTCGACCAACTCCTCTCCAGCGTCGGTCTCCATTGGAGTTCCACAAGGCTCCATCTTGGGACCACCCCTCTTTCCGACCTAAGTCAACGACCTCCCAGGCGTTCTTGTGATTCCATGTCTACTTTTTGCGGACGACTCAGGACCGAGGCTTTTGCTCAAGATTCCCAGGACGGCTTTGTTCTTGTCGTTCAGCCGCTGTCGTTCACCTGAAAGGCAAAGTGAAAAAAGGGTGTAGCACTGCTCTTTATGTTCTCAGCGTGGGCAGTGTGGTTGCCAGTGCAAGGAGTCCCACAGATTAATGTCTAGTAGTGACTTAAACTGAGTTTTTGAAGGAGCGTGGACAACCGTCGGAGGAAGGTCATTCCACGCAGCTACTACCCGAAACGAGAAAAATTTTGCCTAATGAATGTGTGAGCTGTAAGATCGAAAATCTTACCATGTCCCCGACGTGTGTTTGCTGTGTCAACGGTAAAAAACCTGTTTGCCAAGCTTTGTTCAAACAGGGCGTAAGAATTAGGTAGCCTCGAAGGCGACGGTACTCCAGGGAAAAGAGATCAAGCATCGCGAGACGCGTTCCGTGGTTCACGGATTTGAGGCGGGCAAACATTTTCGTAGCGGCTCGCTGGACACGCTGAATGAAGGTGACGTCTTTCGTGAGTCCTGTGTAGACACATTGGTTGGCAAATTCCAGGAGCGGTCTGAAGGCCTCATAGGGTATTTGGAAGTCCATGCGAGCAATACGGGAAAAATGCTTTGGATCATTCGTAAACCGGTGGTTATCTTTTAGGACTATTTCTCAGTGAGGACAAGTTTGAGGAGATCCAGATACCCAGTTCCTTTTTGGCGTCTATCCCCATGATGTTTTCTGGTCCTCTCTCAACATGCATGACAAAGGCATTCGCTGAATCCCCTCCAAACGACATATAGACGCACTTTTCCTCATTCAGAGGAAGGTGCCAGTCCAACGACAACAGCTTTGCAGAGTCTACATCCATCTGGAGGGCACGGGCATTGGAACTCCAGGATTCCAAGTCGTCCGCAAAGAAGAGATATGAACTTCCAGGAATATCTGGAAGGTTGTTGACGTAGATCAGAAGCAGCAGTGGTACCAGGACTGTGCCTTGAGGAACTCCAATGGAGACCGGCGCTACAGAAGAGTAGATCGAGCCTATTCTCCCTCGGAATGATCTGTTTGATAGGAACTCCTTGATCCAGTGATGACTCGAGTTTGTGGAGCATCGGGACGTGTGGGACCGAAAATATATGGCGTCCGATATGAGTCCTTCGTCCTTGGTTTAGGTTAAGCTGTCCATAAGCACGAGCATGTTTGTTACGCAAGAGCGGTT